AAATTATGTCCTCTAGGGGACGTGGACGTAAAGGAATGTAAATTTTATATGCTAAATACTTTAGGGACCCATCTTTAATCAAACCATTAAATTAACTCTTGAAGAAACAAGTATCATTTGAATGGACTGAAAATCAAGAAAAATCCTTCCAAATGTTAAAATAATACTTAATTTCAGCACCAATCCTGAGATATCCTGACTTTAACCAACCATTTTACCTTCACACTGATGCTTCTGATACTGGATTAGAAGCAGTTCTTGCCCAACGAGAAGAAAAACAAGAATATGCTATTGTATATGCCAGTAGAAGTCTGACCAAACCTGAACAAAACTATTCTACAACTGAACAAGAATGTTTAGCAGTAATTTGAGCTGTTGAACATTTTCATCAATATCTCGGAACTAGTCATTTTTATCTGATAACCAATCACTCTGCTCTCCAATGGTTGAAAACATCTGAACTCAAAGGAAGAAGAGCCAGATGGATTCTGCACCTAGAACCCTACAACTACACTGTTATCCATTGAGCAGGAAGAAAACATAACAATGCTGATGCTATGTCACGAATATATAAAACAGAAGAACCTATATATATGCTCCAAACAGAAGAAGAAGATGATTGGATGTCTAATTATAGCTTTGCAACTGCCAATTCTGTTGCATCGTACAATTCTAATTCAAAAGATGTACTCTACAAAGTTGAATGGTTCATCGCTGGAAGATATTGTTTTGTTTGTAAAGAAAAAGCTGAAGACCATTATACTCATACTTTTTGCAACTGTTGTAAAAAGTTGTCAGATAGAAACATTATCCTTTCAAAGATAAATGTGCCTGTAAAAGAAAACGAAAGGCAGATGATACCCGATCAGAGATAACTCAATCCACTCAAATTATCTTGGATAAAATTTGACCACAACCATTGTTTCCAAGAAGATTCAAACACCAGTTACAAGATTATGATTTTCAAAGGATATCAAGAACAAGATTGAGAAATGAAGAGTTTGAAGAACCTATTCAATTATCTGACAATTATTGGTGGCTTCCAAAACTTGAACAAACTTTCAAACGATACAGAGAAGAATTTAATAATTATTCCAAACATTATCTTTGCAACTCAGTCTGATGGATGGATACTAATCCTGTCACTCATAGGCAGAAGTTTGTCTAATTGGCTAATTTTTGTAGATCATTTTTTAATATTTGTAAATTTTAATTGGTTGATCTGCGTCTAATATTCCCGTGAGTAAGCAAGTCAGATGCTAAATTACGAAACTACTATGCCATTATTCAATTACTATAATATGATGCAAATTATATGCTTATTGATTTATTAAAGAATATTAATTTTTAATAATTTATTTATTTATTATATAAGTTACAGTAATTGTCTTTTTTTTTTTTAATACATGTAATAATAGTCAAATAAAATCAATAAAAAAAACTATAGTAAAAGGAATCGCCATATTGTATTGTCCCAGGGAGCTGAAATACCATCTACAGATTCCTTAGTATCGTCATTATCTTCAGGAATAGAATCACGATCTTTGCTTTTGACTTTAGTATTCGAATTAAGCTGACGTAGGCTTTCTAAAAGCGAATTAACATGATTGTCAACATCATTATTAATATAATCTAAACAGTGCAAGCACTTGGATCCATCCTGGCTGAAACATGTATCGTGATACGCGTGGCCACATGGCAATACCCGTCCTGTTTCTTCAGTAAGAATATTGTTAGTAATAAAACAATTGGAAGAATTGCAACCAGACAAACTAGGCTTATGCGAAGAACTATATCCTAAAGGCAGATGACAAAGCCACACTTCTTTAATCTTCATTGCTGGAATAGGAATACTGGCACTTTCTTCTTCCATATGCTTTTTCGACGGCTTTTTCATAGCAACCTGTGGTGAAATTAAAATGGAATATTCTTATGTTTAATACGAGTATAAATATCGGAAAAACAATCCAGAAGAAAGCATGCAGTTTTCCGTTTCAAAGTTTCGATATTCCGAGAAGAATACTGGTAGACCGCCCAGGATGAAATGTGCACAAAGTTTTCTTTAAAACCATCATCATTAAATCGTAAATAGTTGATATTTCGTGCTTCTTTTATTATTTGATCCGCCGTAAGATGCTTCTTTGTATTGCGTCGCAAAAGACTGTGAAAGATTTCTACTGGCGTATCGGAGAATTTTGGTAATTCAGCATTTATTGTCTCTATGATTGAATGATTTTTGGATTGCCAATAGAAAATATCGGAAAGAAACATTAAAGGTGCTTTAGAATAATTTTTACGATGAAATTTGAGAAAAATAACCCAAACCCGAAAACAAGATTCAATGTAAGAATCGAAATCGCCAGCTCGAAAAAATTTAGCATAAATATCAAGAACTAATGGAATCGTGTTATCCAACAGGTCTTTAAGTGTCAGAAATTCCGCATCTTTACACATGTATCCAAATTTAATTTCGACCATCTTCGCAATTTCTTGTCACGCACTACGTGAGAGTTCTAATAATAAATTTATACGCCACGGTTTCGGTGTCTTAGCAAGTTTTTTGTTTGCTCCAAATATATATTTATACATTTCAAGAAAAATGGTCGGTATTGGAGAAATATTAACTCTCGGCTATTCAGCGAGATATGCAGAGGACCTATCATTGGAAGAAATGATAATACTTTGTTAGTAATTCCAGAAGAGTTACCATGAACAAGATACCGTGATATAGCGGTTCTCAAGAATATTTGACCAGGCCAATCGGCAATGACTGGAATTACGTTGCCGTCTTCGATATATTTATTTATTACTGGAACAGAAGCAGCAACATTAATAGCCTTAATATAAGCTTCTATCGAATGAAGATTATTCTCCAAGAGATCCACAAGTACAGCATCCTTCAATGATCTTGTGCTCCTTTTTTCTTTTAAACGAACATCATAGCTATGAACTGTTAGCTCTTCAAGCTTTGTTTCATCATCCACGAAGCGGAATCCCCAACGTCGGTTATGAGAGAGTGAATACGTCGCTATAAAATAATTTTCAATTCCAGATTTAATTAATGAAGCTTCAACTAACGCGAGATTATGAATATCTAGTTTTGATATCGCTGGTTGATTCTTGATTGGACTAAGTAAAATAGTGGCGAAATGTTCAGCAGTCGACGTCGTGGTTGTGTTAGGCATTCTTTTAGAGTGGATACTGTGGTAATCGTCGATATTTAAAACTAGTGCATTATTAGTACTATCTGCAAGATTTGATTCCACAGTTGTCATATGCTTTTTAGATATAGCATCCTTGTGGTAAGCAATTGAACAAGATGTTACTGACATGCCTAATGTTGCTAAGGTATCTATCGTTGAATCGGGTGTTCCAGTAGAATCTAAATACATTCCTAGATCTCTTTTTGCATTGTTAACGAACTTATTTCTAATACTACAAATAAAATACATAAAAATACTAATTGTTTCGATACCTTTTCCATTGTATTTTTGCTTTTTCTCAACGGGTTTGTTGATGAATATAATTCATCGAAGAAAGACTTTAGCCGTTCGTCTTCTAATTCCATAATCGCACGAAATTCTTCGAATATCCAAATTGGTGGCAATTCTTTCCATTCTCGTTCATAGAGGATATCTGTGATTATTCCTACTGCTTGGGAAAAAGTTAAATTAGTATCAGAAGTTTCTGTAAAAGTTTCTGTGGAAGTTTCTGTCTCGTGATAATGAGACTGATCTAACGCATGTTTCTGAAATGTTACACTTCCTATTGTTATTCTGTTGTAGCAGTTCAAGCATATAGTATCGCCTAGTTGAGTATAATTTGGTAAAGAATTGTTAGTTTGGCCTTTAAAAATAACATGTTCGGTTACCATTTTCCATCTTATTGAGGTTTGTTTCTTGCATATAGTAATCGAGCATGGTCCTATAAGCGGCATTTTTGTCTTCTAAGTAAAGTATACCAGTTTAGGGATTATTTTG